TGCATAGGCCGTTTCGACAAAATTTGAATTGATTCCGTCGTTTGAAAGTTAATTTATTTCGAGGCAAACAGTGTATGAGAGTTTAATAGAAAATTGAGTGCCCTGCGACACCGACACTAGTGCTACGTGTTCAATGTGATACATTCTATGCATACCATCCTGAATGATGATGCGCTAGTAGCCATGACGTCTATGATTCGAGTGTTTTTATCTTGGCGCCGAAGCCCAAAAACACGCTCACTTGTCATGTCTGATCTTCGTCGCACTGCTTTGAATGCTTTTGTGAAATTGCCAAGATGCAAACCCCCTATAAAAGATCGGCAAAAGAAAAAAACATGATTTAATGTGTGCTCTTCAGTCAGGGCGTTGAGGAACTGTGGTGCGTTGCAGCCGTCTGGTTCAAAGCGCGGAAAAAACGCAATGAGGGTGTTTTGTCACTATGCTTGTGTTACACGCCAACACGACCACAAGCTATCAAAGCGTAGCAGTGTATAGACAGATATCATTTCTAATGAGTAACACGCAGTCATTGTAAATAGTGATTTTTAGTGTGCCACCGTGAGAGGCCAGGTAGTGGGGCCATTTAGAAGTGCAAAGAAGAACCTGGAAGCAGGAAACCTATTCTATTTTACCGCGAAAGCGCCTCCTCTATACCGTTATTCCATTAACCCCTTTGTGTTTACCTGAATTCTGTGCATACCAAACACACCAATATAACTAATTTAGCTGAATGTACGAACAGCTCAACCTAAAAGTAGTTACAGCGTAACTGTGGAAGCAAAAACACAGGACAGAAAAGAGCGCTGACATTCAACAACGCTGTAATAACTTCTAGGTTGTGCTGTTCATGCATTCAGTTATGTCTTACCAACTTGCCCAAGTTTCCACGCTTCATAACTAATTTAGACGCACGAGCGAGCATGGCCGAAGCATGCATCTGTGGGCATCTTGCTCCTTGCATCTTGCTCCTCATTGCTCCTTGGAACGGCATCTATTTTAGAATCGCTGCTCTGCAAAGAGTCCTGCGGAGCAGCGTGGCCTGATGTCACTCTTTTCTGTGGAGGAACGGTCAGCTGTGGCGCAGTCCGGGGGTGACCGTGACGTATTGCCATTGGTAGCGCCCCCAGCGCTGTAAATGGCAGTATTGCCGGCCGTCTTGAATCGTGCTAGATACCAGTGATATAAATCAATTTACAAGATAGTTATTCGTCTTTCAGTTGTGTTACAGGTCATGAATCGCTACTAGGGGGGCGATAACTACTCGTTCACGCAAAAATATTGACATGAGTTCATTTGAGGCCAGTGCTCCTTTAAGAGACGACAAACCATGAAAGCCTCAAATCCAACCAACAAAATAAAGCTAGTGGAGCTTTGGAAGTTAATCAATAGGCATAAGGTAGCCAACATCAGAAGGTATGACATGGAGAGAATAGAGCAGGCTGTAAAAAGCGGCAGAAGCCCAGAAGCTGCAAAGGTAAACTTGTGCATAGGCATAAATCGTATGTAATGCATTGAGGAACAAAGAAGGCAATGTCATAACCAATCTGGATAGGATAGTCGAGGTGGCGGAGAAGTTCTGCAGATAGCTGTACAGAAGCCAAAACAACCAGCATATCGTGAAAAACAATAATAGGTCATAGGAATTAGACATCCTATCAGTAACAACAGGTGAAGTAAGGAAAGCCCTAGAAGGAATTCAAAAAGGCAAAGCCGCTGGTGAGGATAAGGTAACAGTGGACTTCCTGAAAGATGGGGGAGAAATTGTGTTAGAAAAACTAGCCACCTTATATACGATGTGTCTCTTGACAGGAACGGTACCAGAATCTTGGAAGAACGCCAACATCATCTTAATTCACAAGAAAGGAGACGTCAAGAACTTGAAAAATGACAGGCCGATCAGCTTGCTATCTGTTCTCTACAAACTATTTACAAAAATAATATCTAATAGAATTAAGGCGACATTAAAGTTCAATCAACCAAAGGAACAAGCAGGATCTGGTACAGGCTACATTACAATAGGCCTTATTCATACTATCGATTAGATAATAGAGAAATGCGTGGAATTCAACCAACCCCTATCTAAAGTCTTCATAGATTACGAGTAGGCATGCAACTCACTTGAGACATCAGCAGTAATGCAGGCACTACGGAATCAGGTCATCGAAGAAGCCTACATAAACACACCGGAATAAATCTAGAGTGTATCCACGGTCACCATAGTTCTCCATAAAGAAAACGAAAGAATCCCAATAAAGAAGGGTGTAAGGCAGGGAGACACGATCTTTCCATTGCTATTCACTGCGTGTTTACAGGAGGTTTTCAGGACACTAGATTAGGAAGAGTTAGGGATAAGAGTAATGAAGAGTATCAGAGTAACCTGCTATTCACTGATGACATTGCCCTAATGAGTAACTCGGGAGACGAAATACAGTTCATGATTACAGAACTAGACACGGAAAGCACAAAAATAGGTCTGAGAATTGATATGCACAAAACTAAAATAATGTGCAACTGTTTTGACAGTAAACAGCACTTAGCAATAGGTGAAGTAATGCTGGAAGTTGTAAAGGGATATGTCTGCTTAGGACAGGCAGTAACCGCAAGCCGAACCATGAGAGTGAAATAACTAGAAGCATAAGAATGGGATTGAGCCTATTTGGCAAGTTTTCTCAAATCATGAATGGTAATCTGCCATTGACCTTCAAGAGGAAGGTATATAACAGCTGCATAATGCCAGTACTTTCCTACGAAGCAGAAATCTGGAGGCTTACAGAAAAGGTTCAGCTTGAATTGAGGATGACACAGCGAGCAATGGAAACGAAAATGGCAGGTGTAATATTAAGAGACAAGAAGGGAGCAGAGTGAATCGGGAAACAAATTGGAGTTAAGGATATCATAGTTGAAATCAATAAGAGGAAAGGGACATAGGCCGGGCATATAGCATAGGATAACCGCTGCTCATTAAGAGTAACTGACTGGATTCCCAGAGAACGCAAACGCACGAAGGGGAGACAGTAAGTTTGGTGGGCCGATGAGACTAAAAAGTTCACAGGTATAACATGGCAATGGAAAGCACAAGACGGGGTTGCTCAGCGGATCATGGGAGAGGCCTTTGTCGTGCAGTGGGTGCAGTCAGGTTGACGATGATAATATATACTTGGTAGGTGCTTTCACTGTTTAGCACTTTTTTTACTGCAGTGAAACCACCTTTACAGGATGTTATATGTGGAGTAATATGCATCATTTTGTCCATTTCTAATAATTCAAAATTTTCAATAATTGAAATTCTATTTGAATCAAAATCGAATACGCAAATACTGCATTATTCGTTTGAATATTGGAAGCATTAGAATATTTCCCCAATGTGGGCATTGTTACTGATGGAAGAAAGAAAGAAGTTGAGTATCAATTTGATTCTCAATATTGTCTATGTGAGGATATTATCGATTTGTGTGTTTTCGTGTGTTTTGATGGTAACTCACTACAGTGTTCTAGAGCTTACAGTGCTCATCAGCTGACCTGCAGGTTGTGAGATTGAATCCCGGCCGCATTTTTGATAGAGGCGAGAATGCTCATATACTCTAAAGAACCTCAGGTGATTGAAATTTCCGGAGCCCTCCACCGTTATGCTGCCTCTCACTATCAAATGGTGATTTTGGGACATCGAACCCTAACAAAAAATATTACTGTGTGTTTTGGGGGAAGGGGGGGGGGGCTTTTGGCAAAAAGGGTCTGCTAATGTTGTGAAAATGCACTGCTGTTGTTGCCCGAACTGCTGTCACCTGATCCAATGCATTTCCGTCACATCTGCAGTAGATTTTTTTGGCTCTGTGGCGGTGTGATGTGGATTTTAATGGCAGTGTGAATGGGGCCTTACTGATTGATAGAAGGTGCATACATTCATAAATATAAGATGTCGGAACAACACAAACACTGCTTTACTGTGGTCTAACACCCTTTGTGTCCGCATGAGGGGCCTGTAGTCTTTTGTCGCGAATTCCTAAAAACTAGTTGAGGGTGTAACGATGTCACGATGGTTTGCTGCGGTGGTTATGGTGCTTAACCTGCAGAGCGGTGGGTTCGATCTCCGCTGTGGCAGGCGCATTTTGATCGCGAGGAAACGCCAGTGGCCCATGTACTGTGTGATGTCAGTGCATGCTAAAGAACACCAGATGGTCGAAACTTTCAGAGTTTTTTACTATGGTGTCTCTCATCATATCGTTGTTTTCTGACTCAAAAGCCCAGATATTATTATTGTTTATCATGTCATAATACGATGTATGTAGGGTGGCACCATTTCTTTTGCTATCTTCCTAGAGGCAGTCTGAGACACAGTAATCATGGTGATTGGTTTGTCCGACGCCAGTATTCCTTAAGCGTATGTGAAAGTAACAGCCTCAATGTAGTAGCGCTCTCTGCATTGTTAAAGGAAAACCCTCATCAAGTGTGTGTTATCCACTACGACAAGACACAGACTTTCCTGAAAAACTATTTAAGTTCGTAATGTAATCTTTGTTATTATGAAGATAGCCTGTGGTGAATGGTTTGTCAAAATGTCAAGCATCTCGTCAAAAGGCAACATTTGAAAAAAAGTTGACAAAGCAAAAAATCCTAGCACCGGAGCTCTAAAGTACGTTCTGGAGGGTGCATATCATGATGCTACATCAGTAACTAAAGCTGGTGAGTGCAGGGGTAGCCTTATCTCAGAATCTTTTAATCTGTTGTGACAAGCCCATTGTATGTACATATGTATTATCAGTTGGCTCACTGGCATTACTTTTGGGACATTGCATTGGCGGGCTGGTTGGTGTGAATCCATAGTGATTATTTTTTATTTTTTAGTGGGAAACGACTCCACTTGAAAGAACGAAGTGCTTTGATTTGTTCTTCTTACTTGTGGTATTATTTCACACTCAAGAATAAACCCTTTGGGACCTACTCTGTATTCTCCGGGGTCTTGCCAACCATTGTCTGATGGGAGCCTGCTCTTTGCTTCGCAGAGAAACATCAAGCAGAAGTTCATAGCCCTGCTGAAGAAGTTCCGGGTGCCGGACGCTGAGGTGGGCTACAGTGCTCTCATTGGCCTTCGAATCGCTCTTGTGGTGCGCTATCGGCTAGTGCAAGTATTTATAAAAGACACCATACCACAACTGCACCATACAGCATTCACTTTGTAGCAGTAGCAGCAGTTTTGTAACTGTTTTCTAGTGCACCTTCACTGTGCACCTTATCGTAAACTGTAGTCAATGGCATGAGAAAGTCTAGCATGTACAGGGTGTTTCAAAGGATGTGTCTGAAAAACGTGCATAGTACTGGATACTAGACATGTGCAAATCTGGTGAAATCACTTAGGTTGCAGGGTTGGGTGAAAATCGGAACAGTTGTTGATAATTACTAATTAGCTATTTAACCAAAATGCATTCTACCCTACCAGGCGAACACAGTTACATTGAATTCACATATATCTAATTTTTGTGTATATTGAACTCGCAAGTTATCCCCTTGAAATTCCCTTGTAAAAGTATAGAAATTCGCATGTTTGTATTGAACAGTATTTTTACCTGCCTTTGGATATATCAAACGCCGCGCGAGCTTCAAAGTGCACTTCAGCACTTGCCCCCCCCCCCCCCCCTCCCCCCCACGATTTTTGCGACTCCGTGCTCGAGTTGGAAGGCGCGTTTTCGACACTCGCAGCAGTGCGGCACCACGCCTCCGCCAAAACCAGGAATGCTTGAAAAAAGGTAGGGGCAAGAGGGCTCGGACTGCGCAATCTTCAACTTGCGGAACGGCTTTTTTGGGGGGGTTCTCTTTGTCTCTCTCATGCTTTCTCGGCGTATGCGTCAGCTCCGAGAGTAGGAATGAAGGAGCCGACGTCCTCCTCCTTTTGCCTTTTTGAAATTTTTTGTTGCTGTTTTGCAAGGTTTGATCAGCCAACCACAGCTCGCGCTTATTGCTGTTGCGCTAGCAGGTAGCCATCGCCTCGCGAGCGCATCGCTTTGTTGATCTCATGCATGGAGGTAAGAAACAACGTGCTCTCACGCTTTGTTGCTCTTGAGCTGTCGTGTCGTTTACGTACCACCGTATGTGCAGCATTTCTCTTTTGCATGCGTGATGTGCAAAGCCGCTGCGGACTCCTTGAATTGTCAACTTCTCTTGTAGCTGTGGCCAGCATCAAGAAGCGCAAGACCCTTGACTTTGTAACGAAGTTGAAGGCTGTTCAGCATGTTGATGTCGGCGAGAAATGTTCGACCGACGCGGATGACTTTGGGATACCACGGAGCACTCTGAGTACCTTGTTGAAAAACAAGGCAGATATCAAGGCTAAGGCAGCGGAGCAGTAAATGCCAGGAGCCTGTCATGTCCCTGCTTCTGCCCACGAGAATGTAGAAAAGGCACTGCCTGGTATTTAGAAGTGCAAGCGAAGAACATTCCGGTGGATGGCCTGATGCTGATAGCCAAGGCCAAATGGTTTGCCGCTGTACTCAGTGAAAAAACTTCACCGACAACAGCGGGTGGCTTTACCGATGTAAGCAAAGCTACAGCATCGTTGGCAAAACCATTTCTGGTGAAAGCGAAGCTGTCAACAGCCAGAACATCCAGCCGTGGATGACAAAAGAGTGACCGGAAGTTTTCTCCTGCGGAGATCTTCAATGCCTGGCGAGACGTGAAGACGGGCACAGTGGTCAACTGCTTCCGCAAGGCAGGCTTCGGGACGGCGGAACTTGCGGAAGCCGTGAAGACGACGTCGACAAGCGCATAGACCACGCGTTTCGCGAGTCTTCAACATTTCAAAAACGAAGAAGCAGGCCAAGGTTAGGGATTTTTCTTTCACGCAAATAAACCATTCTGTTGCGGCGTGTGTGTGGAATTAAATGTCATTCTTCAATGCACGGATTGTAGGTGATGATCTTCTACAGGTAAGCTCTTGGTGCCTCTGTTTTATTATATTGAATATTTCATATATCGAACTAATTTGCGATTTTCTCTGAGTTTGATATATCCGTGTTGGACTGTATAACAATATTAATAAGATCTGACAGACAACGCTGCCAAAAAAGTATACGGAATGTTATTTGTAGTACCGTACTAACCGGAATATAGGTCGACTTCTCTAGTTTAGGTGACCAAAAAAGGTATATAAAAAAAGGAAAAAACTACCTAAAATTGTCGCAACACATTTATTTGCGAATTGGGCGCACTGAACCCCGATCGTCGGACCTCCCCTCAACCACCATCAAAACTGTTTTTATTCATCAGACGAAACACCACTGTCTTCTGAAGACGAGAGTTTGTCGCTGGCCGCCTCCCACAATACGTCGTCCTTGGTGCCATCCAGCGAGTTGCTGATGCAACATTTCTTGAAAGCATTTTCCACCATGGAATCTGGCGAGGAATTCCGGCAGAAAGCACCGAGCAACAAACAGTCGCAAGCAGAGGCCTCTCTAGGCGGCCTGTCGGCATCTTTGGATTGTCGCCGAACATTCACTCTTGATACTCCAGCCGCACTTGGTCCTTGAACAGATTGTTTAGCACAACGTCGAGCGACTGGAAGGTAGATGTCATACCACCTGGTATCACGGCGAGGTCAGTTTTTTCATCGCCGAGTGCGCGTGTCACAGCATCGGTCAGGTTACCACAAAACACATCCAACACCACCATGCTGCGAGGACGCAGCAGTGCACCTGGCCGACAGTTTCAGACTACTCTTGTTCATTTGAGCATTATGGCCTCGTTCATGTATCTCTTTTCGTTGACGTGAACGACAACACCGGGCGGGAACACTTCCTTTGGCATGGTGTTACGTTTGAAAATGAAGAAGGGCAAACAACAACAAAAAAAAAACTAAAAATTTGCATCATCTAATCATAAGCAAAAGTACGAAGGACTCTCCCTTGAACATCGTAAACCGGCAGTACAAGTATGAAGCTGTGACAGTAAACGACCTTAACTCCGGTGTGACATAAATTGGATGATATCAGCCATTGGTAGAGCATCATCCTTTGCCACTGAATATCCCACTATCGTGCCGATTTTCAAACCACATCACTTGGCAAGCTGAATTCGTCGCATCTTGCCTTTTGTGTCTGTGTTGGTGCGTGCCATAACATTTGTCGTAAATTATGAGGAAATGAAGTGGATGCAAACGCGCACGTTTTGTCGGTGCGATTTCATTGATTTTTCTTACAGTTCCCTTCAATTTTCTACAGTTCTACAGGGTCTACAAAATCTACGGTTCAAAAACACAATCTCTTATGCTTTTTTTGGATGAAAAACCCGTGTGCTGAGATTTGGGTTCACATTTAAGAACCCTAGGTGGTCAAAATTTCTGGAGCCCTCTACTACAGCATCTCTCATAATCATATGGTGGTTTTGGAACCTTAAACCCCACATATCAATCAATTAACAGTTTGGTGCACGAAACTCTTCTCTCGTTAGCCTAGCTTCTTGAGCAAGTTCCACGGCTTTCTTGCAAATGATATCCACAGTCACTAGCAGCTAGCATGCATGAACTTCTTGCAAAAAGTCTGCTAATGTATCCTCCAACTGCCGATGAATCGCACTACGCCCACGAAACGACATTTTCCGAGGATCGCACGTCTGCAGCTTCCCTTTCGGCACTATCCAATAGCCCATGCTTTTTTCTGATACACCAAAGCGGAGCTGAGCAGCCATGTTGCTGTTCACTTTTGTGGACGCAGCTAAGAACTGCCTTCTCGTACCGCTACTGATATTCAGTGAACGAAAAAAAAGAAGACTAAAAATCAAACGCAACGTCAAGCGGAGTGAAAGCTCGAAACAGATTGGAATCAAATCACGAACACAAAAAAGACAGATAAAAAAAAAGCCTGCTGTTAAATTTGGACGGTGATGTGGCAGTGTCTGGCTTCTCATGCACATGCAAGCCACATGTTGCCAGACGGCAGCACACTGTTGGCTAGACACCGCTATATAAAATGAGGGGCGACTTCAGCTCGTTGTTTTATTGAAAATATCTCGGTTATTCGGTATATTCGCGTTTATATGATAAGGGGCCGAACCTACAACATTTGAGTAATGTGCCTGATGCCCTACCAACTGAGCTACCACGGCGGCTGTCCCTCTCCATTCACTTTATGGGGTATGTATGTGCATTTAAATGTGCGAGCGTCAGTCAGCGCCACCTTTTGCCATTGCAACGAGTGTGGGACGCACATTTTCGGCCTTTTGGCATCATCACGTTGCACGTCATCTTATAAGGAGCTGGCAGCTGACTACGCGACATACGCAGGCAAAAAATGAGTGTCCCTCATTCGCTGAAATGGCAACAGGCGGCGCTGAATGGCGCTCCCATGTTTAAGTGCACATGCATACCACATAAAGTGGACGGGGGGATAGCTGCCATGGTAGCTCAGTTGGTAGAGCATGGGACTCATTATTCAAAGGTTGCAGGTTCAGTCCCTGTTCACGGTAAGTCATCTTTTCGTGTACTTTTATTTTTTCACAATTATGTTACCATCCAATTCTTCTAATAACATCCCCTATACTTGACATAATTGTCTGTATATTCTCCTTAATACTGTGTAACAAAAAAAAAAACAAGCCCTTAAATTTACCCTTCTTTTCTTTTTTCTCTGCTGATCACATGAAGAACTTTGCGTTGAAGTGCTTGGTGGTGGCACGTTTCCCATTTTCTTCGGCAGAGTTTGACATCGAGCTTCAATTTCATAGCCCATCACAAGGAAACAGCAAAAATGTGACGGAAAGTTGGCAAAGCCTAAACTTTCGAAATCAATCAAGCGTGCGGTGCAGTGCGTTTGGCTCACAGACACACTGAATGAGGGAAACAGTTGGTGCAACAGGCGCTCTTATGGCTCCGACTCGAGCGTGCACCTTTACAGATAAAGGGAGGCTAGCAGTGGAAGAGATGGAGAGAGGTGAATGCTTGAGCAGTCATCAGGCTGGGTTAGAAGCATACTGTATTCTAGGGACCATAGTTCTGGGAAATCCTAGGAAGAAGTCCTTTCGCACTTGCATCCAGTTTTATGTATGACTGCGCTCACCTGGTCTGCAAGGCGCACGC